ATGCTTTTCAGTGAGTTTGTGTGTGACTGGAGGATAAATTTTAGCTAATCTTTATCTGAGACTATCGTTGCATCCTCATCCAAAGGACTATTTCTTCCCCTTTTTATGTAAGAACTTGCGTGTGTGTTCGAGTGCATGCCTATCTCTCTGATTCAGTGTATAGGATATTGGTCTTGGCAGTATGGAATTTAGTTAATTCCTCCAGCTGGTCTTCTGGCTTGATTAAATAATCACTGATTTAATGCAAGTCAGTGTAAGTGTGCGTGCGTGCACGCTCCTCCTTTTGTGTGTGCATCTGTGTGTTAAAAGCAAGGCCGACTTACTACTTAAGTGAATTAAATGTAATGTCATTTTGAAAGACTTTGTTTGGAAAGCCCTCTTTTTAAATATATTTTAGACCACAGGGCGCCTAAATGGATGCCTTTCTTCTCTCTCTCCCCAGTCTCCTCTCTTGTGTGGCTCTCTGTTTCGCCACATTTCGTCAAGGACCATTTAAAATGTTTTGCGTGTTTACCTTTACTTCACCGTGCTCAATGTTTAAAATGAAGAAATTACAGAAAAATGCTGAGAGATGACAAACATTGAATTTTTAAACAGCAGCCCATGTGAAGGCCACCAGTTGGCCTCGCCAAATTCCTTCAACTGAAGCTACACCACCAGAGTTTTAAAATGCTGGTGCACATTGGTTGCAGATGCTAAACTAAATCTGAGGGCCTCAGTATTGCGATGAGACCCAAACCTTTGGATGCTTATCTATTCAGGCTACTTCTTCCATAAAGATTTAAAAGACTGTGCAATGTAAACAGTTGGTATAACATCTGTAAATTTATGGCTTCAGGAGAAAATCAGAGTGGACTCGAAGCCAAAGCTGAAGCACTCAGCCACAGCGTGGTTACACCATATGTTTGATGTTGAGTACAACATCAGATTCTCGAAAATTAAGTTATAATTCACTAGGCCGTTTTATGAGTAAAGTCACCAAAAAAGGCAATGAAAACGGCCAACTTCTATTTGAGTTTAAAAGCAGCCACTTCGAACTCTTGAATGAGAAGCTGGTGTGGCATCGCAAACATATTAAAGTCATGATATACATGTTACGGTGAGATGTTGCATGTTTCCCCAAACAAACAGCAGCGGGATCGCGTACCCTCGTTTATGCATTCTTGCATTAATTCTAATGCCAGACAAAAGCTTTCCGCTAGAGCTGCTTGTGCATTCGAGCGCTGACTGACCGAACTCATTGTGGAAGTTATTAAACCAATAAATGTTGTTTTATATGCAGCCTTCCCTGAGTAGATTGTACTCTTAATTTCTTCAGTTTTTTTCTTTTTACAAGCATCAGGAGACTGATAAAATCTGAACATATTGTCAACTTCTCATTGCTAGATTATAATGTATACTCGCTGTTTATAGTGACCTTATCCTCGGGCGATTAATTAATGAGAGGTATTTGTCCCAACTGTCTTTATAGGTTCATAAGAATAGCAACATTTCATATCCTATCTGGGCCCGGGGCACTCTCCCATAACATATCCTTAAAGGTTAATAAATAAATTTGAAATGCATTTGTTGGTTTGAATTTGGCTTGATTAGGAAGAACTCGATAAAGAGTTTAATTTCCTGGCCCGCTGATCCTCTGACGAGCACTGTCTGCCTGTGTGCGCGTCAGAGGGCGTTGTTTGCGGTGCTGATTGAACGCTGTTATAGGCCGCAGATAAATAGATGTCATTAAGACCCCGATCCCTAATTACAGCCGGCCCTTCTCTGCAGGGTGAGGTGAGCGGAAGAGGCCAGGTATCTGTAATGAATCAGAAAAAGTGCACACCCACACTGTAGGTACACACTAATTTACCCTGCTCACAAAACTAGTTGTCCGAGAAAAACAAGACAAATTCAGACAAAGTATTCGCAGTATGTGATATATATATATATACAGTACAGTATGTTTATAGAAATGTGTGTATGTACGTTTGATGTGTTGATGATGCATGATTGAAAAGGAAGTTGGATATCAGGAGCCACATTTTGAGAGAGCATTCGTGCATGCACGTGCACATTTTGGACGGTGGTGCGGGGCTATTTCTGTAGTTTCCTGTGTAATTGACACTTGAACCTCTCATTCACACACACACACACAAACACACAGACACACACCATGCAGTATTATTGTAGTCTACTATTGGTGTAGCCAAAATATCCCCAACACACACACATACACTTCTTGCCGCTTCTCATCCAAATCTAGCTTCATTAGTCAATGGAAGCCAATATTTTCAGGTGTGTGTGCTGCTCTCAGGGGCAGCTGTGGGGCCATATGTGAGTGATTTGAGCGCTCAGAGGGAAACTGAATTCTGATGACAGACGCACTGTTTGGCTTGCAACACTATACACACATACACACACGCGTACGCACACACACACACATCCACAGAGGAAGCATACATCAATCAATCACCTGGCTCCGTCTCTGTACATGTGGTGACCGTATGGTGTGTGCACCACACTCGAATAGGCATACACACTCAAGCTCAGTGTGCCGCTGAGAGGATTTGCTCATGTAAGTGTTGTGCTGTCTAATGTCAGATGGATGAAAACACGTGTACCCTAAAGACTGGTAGTTTTAGCTCAGGTGTTTAATACATGCAGAAACATTGGAAGCAAGATTCTTGTACACATATTGAAACTGAGAGACAATGTTTCTCCAGTGTGATCCAGATACTATGAAGAACATCATCATAAATTAGTGTTTATCAGCTAAAACTGCAAACTTCTAAAACAAATTGGCAAAAATCCGACTTTTTTGCATTTAAATTTGCAGCAAAGCAAATAGATTTAAATATTTTCCTTGGATTTCAAAGAATATCTCATGTTCTTGCTGGGGATAACAATGGGAATATTCCTTATGACAATAGCTCTTAACACACCTACACTAACATGTCAAATGATTCTATTCAAATGTGCAGTATTTGCACTGGATTGCTCAGGCTGAATGCTCCATGCACATTCAGTGTGTAACGTCTGTTCCCAAAGTTATGTTAAGTGGTTAATTGTGCTGTGATCTTTCCGGTGCATTAGATTGCAAAATAAACTGAACAGTGCTGTGCCCACTGGGCTCTTCTGCTTTTAGCTCGTAGCTCAAAAACAGATGCTCGGTGGAAGTGCCGGTAGTGCCTCCATCTGCAGCTCTGAGACTACAGAAAGCCTGATTGAAGTGTGGCACTCTTTTGTGAGAACTTGAAATGTCTTTAACTTCGAACAGTGGATGCTCTGAGCCCAAAAACTAAAACTAAAAAATGCTAAGCTCTCAGCACTGTCATAAACATAAAACAAAACAGCAGAGAGAAGGTCCCAGTGGACCATAGCCCCATGATGTTGGAGGGAACACGGAGTAACACAACAGCAAGAGGAAGATGGCAGACCAGATACACAAACTGCATATACAGATTTTACCAACATTCGCACGCTTGTATGACTTGTAAATCCTTAAAAGCCTACATTTAATTTCACAGAGTGAACATGTCAGACTGTGAAACTGTGAAATGTTATTGTGCTAAATGCTACTTTTGAATTTGATGCCAGAAACACATTTCAAACAAAGGTGTAAGCGGGCCATGCTTACCAATGTGTTACATCACCTTTCCATATAACAACACTTTGCAAACATTTTAAAACAGAGGAGAGCAGCTGCTCTAGTTTTGAAAGCCAAATTATTTCTTCATCTTTCTTGGTGGCATTGTGGGACATCCTTTGTTGCATCGTCAAGCCTCTGACATTTTTCACAGGTGACATGTCTGGACATGAGGCGGGCCCATTCAGTATAAGGACTCTTTTACCACAGAGACATTCATTTAGAACACAGTGTTGTTTGGTGTTGTCGTCCGGATGGCAGCATGCTCCATGTGTTTTCAGAAGTGTTCCTGAGGCCCTGTTGTGATTTCTTCTACAGAATCATATCCAGTTTTAGGATAATTTGATTATTTTTTGATATGGTACTGCAGGCGATGAAAACTCCAAGTAGTTAAGAATTTTATAACTAAAAATTATCAGTTAAAAAGAAGCTGAAAAGGAGAACCCTGGAATAGTGAGCACTTTAAAGGCTAAAGAGATCAGAGCGGAGATCGCAGCGGAATAATTATGGGATGTTTCAGGAAAGGATAGATAGGCAGACAGAGGGAGAAACTGACAGAGGAGTTCCGCTGGAGAAAGATGAGGTATGCTGTCCTCTCAGGGTCATAAAGGTGGTGAATGGGGCCAGAGGCTTAATGGGATGGAGAAACGTTGTGATTGGCTCATTACTGTGATGGAGCACGTTGCCACGACAATTGGCCTTTTCACCCCCCCACCCCTCCTTGCACACACTACTTTTCTATGCACCACTGCGCTGTGAACTGCAGAGGTGTGTATATGAGAACTTGCACACTAATACAGTAAAAGTCAAACGCCTGCCTGTAAAGTACCTGCTGCAGTTCAGATAAACACTAAAACGCTTTATGCTACAAGGTGAAAGCATAACTCATCTCTTCCCACGTCTTTCAAGTGACAAAATTACCGCAGTGCCTCATGTCTTTCTTAGATAAGTCCATGTTCGATCTTATCGAATATTCGAAAACAACTTAGTCATTTCGACTACATCATTTTCTTTTCACTGAGGTAGTTTTTTTTTTATTTTATTAACCTTGTTCTATGCAGGGAAAACACTGTAGAGAAGAATAATGTTCTCAATAGGATTTCCCATTAGGTGTGATAAATGAGAGTCCATCATCTCTCTGCCACCAAGCCAATCTGTTCTCTCCCTCTGTCTCCCACCCTAACTACCAGCCTATTGCACTTGAGTGGCATGAAAATTACAAATGAATCAAAAAGTTCATTTTTGTCCCCCCCCCACCCACTTTTTTTTCCCTCCAGCGATTTGCCATCTTTCTTATCCTCACCAAATTTCTTCATTACACCATGTTTTTATTTTCACTCTCTAACATGTCTCTCTCCTTCTTCCTCTATAGCGGCGCAGAGGTAGTGGAGTTTTCTGCGCTAACTGTCTGACCACCAAGACATCGCTGTGGAGGAAAAATGCCAATGGAGGCTACGTCTGCAACGCATGTGGTTTATACCAAAAACTACATTCAGTAAGTCGCACACAGGTGTTTCTGTCTTCACCAGCTGCACTCTTACATTTTAAAAAACAATGCAAGCAGAGGAAATAAAATGTAGGCAAATGCCTACAAGTGTCCTGTTATACAGAAGTTAATATGCTCTTAATGGCCAAACTTATATCCACTTCCTATATATACAAGTTTCCTCATAAAGGTCCTGCTGGTGTCTTTTTATACTACATCCACGGGGGTGGTTCTGACCACTAATTATCATTCCTCCTGTCTGGCCAATTAGCATACGGAGCAAATAAAATGCTGCACACCGCGGGTAGATTCTTGTATATATTCTGTGGGTCCTGCTGTGAAAGTGTAATATTTTGGAGAAAGCATATTTGATTTGGTGGGAGTTACAGACCGTTTCAGCAGTCACAGGGAGCCAGATCCATGGAGTGAGAAATATGATGGAATGAATCAACTTTACCATCTAAGCCTAGGGAAAGTCTATGGAAATCCCAAATTTAATTAGACTGCATGAATTACAGATGAGATAAAAACTTGCCTGGAATTTAGTTGACTTCAGAATATCAAGATTATTCACCTCAGATATGTTCTTAAGGTGTTTAAGCCAATTACACACTTCAGCATACTCATTAATCGCAGCGGTTTGCTAATACTAACAACATAAAGCAACTTCAGAGCGTCGCTGTATATGCCGAACCCTGCTTCCAGTGTGCGAAAGTTCAGTGCGGACGTTTCTGTGTGATCGATCACAGTGATAATAAATGCATTAGTGGACTGACCGTGTTGCAACCCTGAGCTATATGCTGCCATTATCCAATGGCGCTTTAAAGACCTTTCGGAGGATGACAAGCTATTGAAGTTTACTGCTTCCTGCCCCTGCAGATGTCCTTGGTTCAACCCGTTCATCTCATCTGCTGCTCCAATTACGTCCCGGCTCCCTCTACTCTTGGCAATCTTCACGACGGCCATATTTTATATCCCATAATAAAAGTTTTATATGCTCTACACACATTATTAGAGAGGATAGCAGCTAGTAAAACACTTGAGAGTGAGAGAGGGGAAGGGAGAGTTATGAATAAAGGGGCAGGAAAAAAAGTGGAGGGAAAAAAAGGAAGGGGGGAAGACAAAGAAAGGGAAAAAGATTAAGGTAAGAAGGAGGACGGGGATAATGAAGGGTCAGGGTGTGAATGAAGAGTGAGAGATGGAGGAAGATGGGAGAGATTAGAAGAGAATGCAGAAGCAACATTTAGGAAGAAGGAGGGAACAGACAGAAAGGCAGATTTATGTGATGTGTGCTAGCAGCAACCACAGCCCAGGTATTCTACCAAGCCACCCCTACAACCATAAAAGTGCACAAAATTACAGCAGCCATGTGTGTGTCTCACTGTTTGTTTGAGTTACTTGCACCCACAGGATTGTAGACACATTAAAACCCTATAAATAAGCATCACTTTCTGCAGTTACTTAGGTGACAGCTCATGTAATTGAAAAGATACAACACAGATATATAAAAAGCTTTTCTAGGAAGTTTTAAAAGGAAAGCATATGATTTCATTTTCCAATCTAAAACAGGCAAAACACCATGTGGTCACACCTGCTGTGAGAAGACACTGGCAATACAAAGTAAACAAAGTAAAGAGGAGGAAAGGATAATTAGGGAATGGACAGGGAGGAAGATCGAGTCAAATTCTTGCTAAAACAGAAGCAAAAAAAACAAAACAGTGAGTGACTGAGTGAGAAGAAGTAGCAAAAACTTGTGCTGCTTCCCTATTCCATACCACATATGAGCTTCATAGAATATGCGCTACTGGATGCCGCTGGATGTCAGTCAAACTGCAACTTTAATCAAGAAACTAATTTATGTTTTCCTAGGTGTCTCACCTCCATGCAGTTGTTGTTGTTTTTTTTGCTTTGTGTCTTGCATTGTGAGATAAATGTGATTATGAGTATCCCACTCCGAAATTAAGGCTTTTCCTCATCTTTATAGTTTATTCAGTGGTTCTCTCAGTGTGAATGGATTTAAATCATGCTCTGAATCACTGTGTCTCGTGCTTCCGTCTTCCATTCCCTCTTTATTTCACACCCCCTTCCCTTTATCCGTCCTTCTGTGCACCAGTCGGTCTTTAGAAACACAAATTCTAAAGCCAGAAAAAGAGAAATGTTTGTGGATTTCGCTGCTATATTTTGCGAGTGCCACTGCCAAATGATGGAATCTTGTTTTTGATATTGATCCATATGTCAAGAAGTTTCAGCGAGACAACTCTCTCATTAACTTTTACCAGCTTGCCAAACGAAGGACTGAAAACACTTCGCTGAAATGCATGTGCATTAATAGGTCCCTGAATCTGAGTTTTGCCCTTCTGAGTTTGCTTATATAAGCGTATTTGATTGTTTTTGCTTGTTAACATTAATGCGCTAATTATATGTTTACATAAGCACAGCACAGTATCCCCGAATCATTATAATAATATTAAAATTGCAATAGAAGTGACTGTTCTGCTCTTAAATATTTTCGGTAGCTGCTCTACAGTGACTGATAAACTCCACGCTGAAAATTACATTGTCTTTGCCCTTTTCACCCACACACTGGCGTGCACACATGCACACCCACACAAGCATACTTAATGCACATACTCTGACAGACACACATTCGGTCACAGGCTATCAACACGAACATAAGAATACATTTCCATACACAAAAGGCTACTGGAAATCACCCAAGAGTTTCCCAGCATAGGCACAGGACACATTTTGAAGGCATTGGAGTTTTTTTCCTGTACCCAAGTGTCTATCCATCTCAATATCTTGCTCGGTCTTCTGTGGATGGCTTGCATCCGCAAATATGCACTTTGTATTTCAAGGTCCTACATCATTGGTATACACACAAGTTTCTTTCTAAATATGTAAAAGTATACCTGGAGATACGAACACAGTTACACAGTACAAAGACAAATTTCTGCAAACCTGTTTTTGAAGCTTTGAAAAGCCATGTCCTGTATGCTAACTGAATTTGACATTGCTGTGCAGAGGTCACTGCTCATAATGTGAATGTCTTTCTTGAATAATGGCGGGTTAGCGACACATTTATTTTGATTGGGCACCTTATAAGACAGTTTAAATTGAACGGTTTATTTTACTAGGAGCAAAGACAGCCTTTCAGTGATTTGTTTGGAAATGTATTAGACAAGCTGTGTGCGTGTGTGTGTTTTTGGCATGTGTTTAGCATCACCATCAAAAAAAAAGTTTCATCATCATTCAGATTTTTTTTTTATACTCACACTATTAAACCCAGTGGGGAATTAAATAAGTGGGGGGTGTTTTAGAAATCTGGTGTTTTAGATGCAAATGAGCAGTTTTTATTCTTTGGAATTATGCATGACTTTTGCCTTTTTTTAACCAAAACACTTGTAACCAGAACACAGCCTTCTTTGAAGCTCACAACCTGCTTTAGTAATTGGTTGTAGTGTTTCTAGCTTTCCTGTTTTATTAAAAAAAACATTTCAGTAAGTGTTTCACGCTGAAACAAAGCATATTATAGGACTCGATTAAAGAGATGAGTGCACTGTAAGTGCGAGAGGGTTGCACTTTCAACAGATGTAAGTCCGCCCGCACCCCCTTGTGGCGAGGGCAAAAACCACAGTCATCTGGAGGATATGTTACCTCATCAGTCTTTCTTTCATCGCGATGCATTTAGTTATACTTCAAATCTATATAAAAGAAGAAAGACTGTCAGACTGTAATCTGCCACAAAGGGCTTTTTAGGGAACTTTGGGGAACCTAAAACCAGTAGCTACCGTTTTAGATCTTGACTGTGGTGCGTATTGCTTTCTATGTTTCACCAAATATGCTTATGATAGCTTTATGATTAAATAATTGTTATACTCGGCTGATTAGTCAAAGTAGAGAGAGCTTTATTTTTTATCCACAGTCGATTGCACCAAAGGCATACTCAATGGTTATTTAATCTCTGAGACCACCTATGCATTAAGTAGGAATTTTATCATAGTCAAGCATGTGTGCTTGACATTTATTAATTAGTTCAGCAAAGTTATCAGCATGATGAAGTCGAATTACCGCTTCATATATTGCAAACTGTCTAACTCCCTTCCCTCTTGCTCATTCTTCTGTGTTTCCTTTGCCTTGCAGACACCCAGACCTCTAAACATCATCAAGCAGAACAACGGTGAGCAAATCATCCGCCGTCGAACCCGAAAACGCCTCAACCCCGATTCGCTTTCGTCTGAAAACCCTGCCCCCAAGCAACAACGCATCACCAGCGAAGAGCGCATGAACGGGGAGGAAACAGACAGGAGCTGTGCGTCAGTCAAAAACCAGCAGCCTTCCCCTCGCTCACGCTCACCGCGGTCCACGCAAGCCTTCTTGGCCAATCAAACATTGGAGATCCACAGGCGTATGCCTCCTCTTCTCCTCCCCTCACATGCCCCCTCAGTGGGAGCGGAGGGCAATGGCGGTATCACAGAGGGAGGTATAACATCGAAAGCAGAGGGGGGTAAAGGAGGAGGGGGATCGGAAAGAGGCAGTCCAATTGAAAAGTACATGCGTCCGTCCAAACCGTCTAGTTATTCACCTCCAGGTTCACCCATTGAAAAATATCAGTACCCTCTTTTCTCCTTACCCCTTCCATTAACCATTTCACCTGAGTTGACCCCGGAGTCAGATTGGCTCAGGTTCTGGACCAAGTATAAGATGGCAGCCGCCTCTGGGGTTCCTGGTAGCATCAGTAATCTAAGCAGCCCCGGGAGCCTTGGAAATAACGCTCATTATCTTAGCGCGATGGTGACTCCAGTACAACATCATCAGCAAAGCTACACGGTGCCTTACTGCGCCTCTCCCTACTCTCCTCTTCCTCCACCTCCAGCTCCTACTCACTATCCTCCTCCTCCTCTTCACGTCCAAACCCCTACTTCATCATCATTAGAAAACGATGCTCCTTTGGATCTCGCAATAAGACAAAGAGATACAAGTGCTGTAAACGCGCACGTGTCCACAAATGGTGCCGAAAGGCGAAGGCAGGAGTCGCCGCTAACTGACAGGCTAAGAGGTAACTGGAAAGGAGAGAAAGAGGAGGAGGAGAGGACAGACGAAGGAGGGAATCCAGGTGAGGAGATAGGGAAGGAAGAAAAAGAATGTTTGTCAACATGTCAGTCAAGTGTCCCGTCTAATCGCAAAATGGTGGAGGTGGCCACACAGGATGACCTGACCAATCGATGTGTCCACTGTGGGATCTACTTCATAGATGAGGTGATGTATGCCCTGCACATGAGTTGCCACGGTGACAAAGGACCATACCAGTGCAGTTTTTGCCTCCACGTGTGCGCGGATCGATACGATTTCACCACGCACATACAGAGAGGCTTACACAGGTACACAGACAAAACGACGCAACAGAGATGTCAAATGCAAGACGGCAACATTCAGAACGCTGCGGGAATGTCGGAGCACGAGTGTCAAAATGCGACAGAGGAGGAACGCGATGAAGACGGTCATTATGAGACCACCGGCGAAGGTGATGTAGTAGAATCGTGTCATGACAACCAAGCAAAACAACACACAGGCAGCGATGGCACTGACAATGAAACGGAGACTGAAAAAGAAGCAAAAGGAGAGGACAATGCCGCGACAAACCAGGACTTGGGAGGCAAAAAGGTGTCGCACATCAGCGATGACGTCACGAGAAGCTCAGAGGTCACAAGTGTTGCTGGCTCTAAAATATTAGATGAGAACACAGATGGGAATTAATCGATCTCTTTGACTCATGCAAACCTTTAAGAGCGTTGTTCTTGGATGAATAAGCTGTATGCCTTCATGTTTCTGGAGGCTAGCTCATGTCAAAATGGGCCTATCCTGGGCACTAAAAGGAACACATCCTTATGCTGGAAGCACCCGGCTGTCAAATGGTCAGAAATCATTGTAGGATCCAGCTGAACTATAGCAGGGGCAGTTGAAGAAATTGCCCGAATCCTCTGCTGAGTGACTGCCACTTGACAGCTCTGTGGCAGGCATTCAACAACAGGCATGGAGTTGAAATCACCTTTAATAAGCAGCCACTTCATGCGATTTCCACATAAGGGCATTGGAAGCTGGGCTAAAAGTTGAACTGGTTATATTTTGGATAACTTTTGGGAGCTCAGCACTTGCATGGCCACCATAAAGGAGAGCAAAAAAAAAAAAAGAAACTAGAAGCAAAATAATTAACCTGAACTGAACTGAGCTGGGCTGATTACTTATGCACCATACTAAAAAAAAGCTGGTCCAAACTAGTCTAATGTATCATTAAGACGGTTTTATTTTGGTACAGCCAGATGTGATCTGGTTAGGATTGCTTTGTTCTTGTCCAGAGCATGTTTTTGACTGTTTTTTTTCTCTGTGCAAATAGATCTAAAACCAAAATTCTTTTCTTTTTTTTTGACTAATTAAAGCTGGTTAGTTTGAAACCAGTTTATGCTGGGCTGCAGTTGAGTTGGTGTTACCTCGGTAAAAAGTGATCAGTTGATTTCTTTCACTTAGCCAGTTTTTTTCTGAAACTGATCAAGTTCTTGGTTCTCGGGTTTTGAGTCAGCTGGGACTTTTTCGAACTGCTGAGCCAGTTTGACTTGATAAAACCGGTTAAACTCCGGGCCGAAGTGTTTTCTCTATCCGTTTGGATTAAACCAAGTGACATTATTTTCTACCTTCCTCTGTGCCATGATACTAGCTATGTGCCTGGCTGCCTGCCCAACAACCATCTAGTACCCGCTTAACATTTATATTAATAATAATAATAATAACGGTAATAATAATGATGATGATGATGCTATCGTACAAAAAAAATGCAATTTGCTACACTTTCATATATAATATGGTATTTTGTAAAGGAAAATGCTTTTTGCAGGAAATGGTACTATAAAAATTAGCCTATGTGAGTTTTTTTCTCTTGTTTTTGAGCTTCTTAATGAGACTTGTTACATTTATAACAGCCGCCTAGTAGAAATGGTACAACAAGGGAGGGAGGGGGAGGGGTGTGTGTGCATGTGTGCATTTGTGTAATTGCATTTCTACGCGTAAGGATCAAAGGATGTGTCCGTCCCCAAATGATGATGTAAACATAATGAAGGCTTGCAGTTGGTTTTTCAGTCCTCAGGGGTCACACATGTTGCACACCAACCCACCTGTTTCATAGCATGTGACACATCAGTTTTACAGTACATGGCCTAATTGTGTTAGCATGTCACATATTGTTCTCTTATGTTCTCTTATATATGTTCTTGTTGTGTTTTTATGTGTTAATAAGTCAACATGGTCTCAGTATGTAACTTTTTTTTTCTATGTCTACGAATTGTTAGGTCGCACAGTTTTACAGAAAGACTTAGGAACTTAGGGAGTAAAACCCCAAATCTTATCAAAAGGAACAACTGTTTTGAGTTAACTGTATAAACCTTTGTTCTGTACTGAGTCTACAGATGTTTTTGCCTACAGTGTTTGATGTCATATTACTGAGAGTTTGGTACAACTTAGGTTACCTCTATGTAGCATGTTAGCACCTGCGAAATCTACAAAATAAGTTGCTTTTTTTTCCTAAAGGTGTGAGGTGTTACATGAAAGACCTAAATAATACTGAAAGAACACGAGATGACATTGCAAAGTTATGTTTTAATAATTCAATGAAGTAAAAGTTTCACGTGGCTTGCAACTCCATTTGACCCATCGCACATTACGCCATCATCAGTGATTTCGTTGCTGTTTTTTTGGAACAGTTTCCATAACTGAGTCTTAGTTTAAACCAAATTTCATCAGTGAGAAACTTCTAACAGTCATGTCCTTGAAAGTCCCGCTGTTATATCAAAGTGGTGGCCATCTTGTTTATTTTTGATAAAGATGGGATGACTTCTCTAGCCGTGTTGCCTTAGTTGCTAGAAAACAACAGCGACAAAAGAAGAAAACACCAACGGACTCTGTTGAAGGACATAATATGTCAATATAAAAATAAAAGACAGGAAGGAACGAGCTAAAGAATGTGAGGGAGGGGGGGGGAAGCTATTTTTCTATGCTTATCCAAAAAGACATGAATGACGAATATTCCACCTAGTGCCTGGTAACTTGTACCACTTTTCAAATCAATATGTTTTGTTGTCTGCATTAAAAATGTTATGTAAGCAATGAGTCGTGTAGAACAGAAGGTGGGAAAGCAAACTGATATATTCCTTTCCATGCACTCACACCACCAAGTCATCTGAGTCATCGATTACGATTTCTGCCTGACCGATCGGTCGGGTGTTTGTTCAAACTTTTCATGTTTGCTTGCTGTGCTAAACTTTCATTTTTGTGCATATATTTACACTACTTTGTAGAATGTTGAGCCATATGCCTCAGTTACTTGTATGAGAGACACAATGCCAAGAAAAGGACCTAATTTGGAGATTGAAACAGAGACACGGCCATGTCACCAGGTCCCATATCATGGTGGATGCAATGTTAATTATTCACACATTATTCTAAGACGGTTAGCATTACAGCTAACTTTGCATTTATGCCAGATAAACAGTTTAAATTAGCTTTTTTTTTTTTAAATTCTACTGCATTGGTAACAGTCCATTGCCAAGTAAAACTAGAACCACGTATAGTTCCCCCTGTAAAATTACATTGGATTGCTATTAAGGTTGGATTTTATTTTGATGCGAATGTCGGAGCATTTGCAACCATTGTCAGTAGCTTGTTGTAGCTCTTTTTACCAAGTGGATTGCCTCAGAAAATTCCCATCACTGGTTTGGAATTACAATTGTTCACTTATTTTTATTTTGAAGTTTTCAGAGATAGTATACTGCTAATAGGTTTCTAGGATGCTAACAGCCTAAGCATTGCTCATCCAATTAAACCAAAAGTAAGGCTTAGAATTATAAAGTAAAATTCATTCTCTTCTCTATTTAAAACTCAAAAAGAAATAGCTGAACTTTTGGCTAATTTTAATACTTCAGTAATTCATTTTGAAGCAGTATTTTAACTTTTAAAAAACTGCATACAGCACTTAACAAATTTATCAGTCCACCTTTCAAACAAGAAACGGAAATATTTTGGAAATCTTTGCAAAACTTGTTTAGAGTTAAGAATTACATAAATTTTCTGGTAAATAAAAGGAATTTGTGTTTTTATTAAGCAGACATACTAGACTTCTTCTTAGTGGTCAGAAATTAATTAACTCATTCACTGCCATTGACGTCTATAGCCGTCAATTGCAGTGAATGAGTCAATGGGTTTAACTCATTCACTGCCAATGGCTGGCAGTGAATGAGTTAATTAAGCAAATCATTCAACCACAAAACCTTTTTTCTTTTTAAGAAAGCAGGTAAATAACTGTAATTTTGCATTGCAACAATAATGTGTTTTATTATTTTTTTCTGCTTTTTTTTTTTAAAGCAGTACATTTGAAAATTATAGATTAAAAACAATAATTATATTTTAGCATTAAAATATTTTTATTAAAGAGCTTTCACGTACCGGTGGTTAACCATTGGTAATTATCAGCACTGTTAATATAGGACAGCTGTGGCATTAACTTTACATTAGGTAGTGTAAGGTCATTTTTTTTTTCTAAATTTGTTAAGCACTGTATGCTGCATTTTACAGTCAAACTGCCAGTGGATCATCTGTACGATAATGCATAAGAAGGGTTTGCTTAACTTCTCCAATAACACGTGTCAAGTGAAAACATCGTAACTCCTTAAGTTACAAAGTCTAATGAATCTCTCGTTCTGATGTTTGCCTTTCATTCGGTGACCAGGTCTTAACATATTACTGTACGTGCCAGTTGGGTCAGTTCAAAAAGGTAGTGGTTGATGAATCTGGGGGTTTATTGTTTTTGTTTTGTTTTCAGAAAGATTGTTCTAATTGTTGTTATTTTCAGAACTATGTTTGTGCTTTTTAAAACTTTTTAGAATGAATTCTTTGGTTACTTTTTTTTATCGGCTGCTGATAAAAAAAACAATGAAAAAAATGTTTACATTAATAAATGTAGCAAAAAAAAAGAAAGAAAAAAATAGAAAGGACGCTTCACCATTCTTAAAAGACACAAGAAAAGGAGGGATGGATGCCTGCTGGGAGGGATGGATGGGTGCCTTTGAAGAATATGTGGAGAGAAGTGGATGAATAAAGGGAGGATGAGTTCAAATGAGGCTAAAGTGGATGATTCATCCCCTCTATATTGTCTCTTTACCTCCCTTCAACTTTATTTCTTTCCTTCTCATCTATTATTTTTTAATGTATTATTCACTGTACCTCTCCATCCCACCTTTGTTTTTCTTTGTTCACCTGCTACAACTCTAGCATCTCCTCCATTTTTCCTGCATCCCATCATTTGATGAATGTACAAAGATGTTCTCAGTAGACAAAGAGAATACGGAGGTTTTAAACGGGAGTTAAGCGTTTGTATTACGGAATGTTGCACCCCAAAAGCTGAGCTAAACTCAGTTACCCCACACATTAAAAGGCTGATCTACATGTTTATTTAGACTTTATTTAGGTTAAGCTTCTTTAAATTAAATCGGCCTCTGGTTGGTTAAAAGAAAATGTTTAAATACTCTTTGAGAAAGTCAGAAAATCTTTGGTAAAGGTTCTCAACATTGTCATGGGATTCCTCACTTACCTCTCTTTACATGTCATCTGACTCAAAAGGATTTCTCAGTAGACTGGAGACAAATGTATTTTCAGATGCCATAATGTTTCACTAATTCCTTTGAAGTGAAATCCTTGGGTTCTTTTTAAGTTGAAATAAAGAAACCTTTATTGAAATTTGTTCATTCATACTTTCTGTACTCTAAGTATGCCGCAGATATCTGTTCTGTTGTTCATTTGAGAGTTTATACATTTATAACTAAATTATAAATAGATGTTCATGTTGGGGTGAGAGGAATCTCGGGGGAACTTTTAACCCGATCAATCGAAGCGGGACACGCATGACATGGCCTTGGGTTACTTCAGCAATGACTTTATGTTTTAGGTTTGATGGCATTTCAAATCAGCGTTTACAATGGGAGGCCTTAACAAGTGCTTTCATGTTTTTGCCTTTGTCAGAATTTGTTATAGAAACAAATGACGCTGTTGCTTGCACTCCATTTATTATGTTCTTATTGCCAAGGAAGGGACAACACACACCCACACACATAAGAAACACACAAACAGCGGTACGGATCGAGTGTACATTTTGGGGTGTACAGTGTTAACATAGGCCAGTTTATTTTTGGCCACACACACACACACGCATGCATACACACAGCAAGTATGTACATTTAATCAGTATATTTTAGTAGATTTTTGTCTCTGTGCAGTTGAATGGCTTTTTATAGAAAAGAAATGGGATTTTTTTTTTTTTAGGTTATGTTCTCTCTCATGTTGTATTTTATTCTGCTACCTTTCTGTACGTTATTGTTTTTAGGTTTTATTTCATGCAAAATCATATTTCAACAACATATTTTGACAGCCAAGAAAAGTTTGTTACACAGCTAAACTTGAAGAATAATGTTGATAATGATGATAATAATTAATAAAAGTAATAACAAACAGTACTCAAAATGGACATTTGGGTGTTTATTTAATAAACAGTGAAGAAGAGGAAACCTATATTGTGTATAAATCCTCCCTCGAGAAAACAGCCTATCTGTGGCCTTCCTGCAGGATGTAAATGCCTGTCATTATGTTTTAGATGAATGCGTTCTTATCCTACACAAGCTGGGGACTTAAGGAGCAGCTGTGGAGGGTACAGATATTGAGATATAATTTTTTTAAACATAAAGCTTTCATACCCAGTCAGGCGAATTTGTTTCGGGGAAGGTAAAAATAAAACCTGCAAACCTACCTCCTGCTGCGCTCTCAAGACTGTGGCCAGGAGCCTCATATCGTCCTTATTTCTCTCCTGATCTGCTCTTCATGCAGTCTTCCTGTGTTTTCCAAACTTGTTTTCCATTTTCCGTTAAGTGTCAGACTTACTTTACTGTTTTCTTTTGCAAAACATACGCTAGTGAAGATTTCATCACAGTGCAAGACTCTGTTCTCCAAAGGTCGATTCCCAATAATTTAATTTTCTGCTACACAAATGACAAGATTTCTGCTGGATTAATGATTTGGACATTGAACAGGTCAGCATGCTGAAGCCTAATGGCTGAAGTCTTTAATAAAATTTGCTGTGAATGATCCTAAAAGGATACATTTTTTTACTGGTTTGGAGCCCACTGACAAGCTCCTCATAAAAGTGAAGATTTTATTACCAGATCTGAAATATAAAATTGTAATATTAATGGCTGGATGATCCTGAGCCATCACATTTTAACACACTGGGGAACCCTATAGTGTCAGTGTGCAAGTTAAAAACAGAAAAGTCTACATAAGTGGTCGTTGCTAGATTGGATCAGCAGAGGGGACAGTAGGTTAATGGATGGATTCAGTTTATTAGTCAGCATAGCTTGGGTTGGGAGAGGCCCCTCTTCAGTGGAACCAGCTTTGGATTCGGGACACAGACATTCTCTCTCTTTTTAAGATTAAGCTTAAAACTTTCCTTTTTAATAAAGCATATAGTGGATTCCCATGATGCAGTGTGCAGTGTATGAGTGTTTCTTCTTCAGGGACCTTTCTCACTCACGATGTGTCTATACACCTCTAATCATGACTTACTATTAGTCTCTGGTGCTCTTCCACATTGTGTCTGTGTCCTATCTTCCCTCCCTGACCAACCATGACTGCTTAGCCCTGAGCCTGGTTCTGCTGGAGGTTTCGTCCTATTACAAGGGAGTTTTTCCTTCCCACTGTCGCCAAAGCGCATGCTTGTAGGGGGACATCTGATTGTTGGGGTTTTCTCTGTTTTTTATGTATTATTGTAGGGTCTTTACCTTACAATATAAAGTGCCTTGAGGCAACTGTTGTTGTGATTTGGTCAACTTCTTTTAACTGCAACCAACTCCTCTTCCATTTTCATTACCACTTCAATAGGCCCAATAAGTGATGGTAAAGACACTAATAAGGAACATATGGTCTCGTGTCTCCTATCGTCTCTTTTTCAGACAAACATGTCCCCCATGGGCATGGCATGTACTAATTTAACTGATTTTAGAGGAAAATTATTTGTATAATGAACACTGCATCTTTTGTTCTTGTGACACTAACAATTAATTTACTGTTATTTCACTGTAAAGATCAAAGAGACTGATTGGCAACAAAGCCAGAGGCTTATTTCTCACCTACATGCGCCACACTAATATTATTTTAGAACCTTTTTTTAATCTTTTCACAACCCTCCCCTGGGTCACGAAGTAGTGCAATATGTCAGAAGACAAAGGCTTCTAATCTTTGGTCTATGCTATGTTTAGCATTATCAATTTATCTTTCTGTTTATAATGAGAACATTGATAAGAGCCGATTAACTCTGCCTTTGAGCCTGCAGTGAAATTATGTAGCAGTGGGGCACCATTTAAGTGTGTGTGTGTGTGTGTGTGTGTGTGTGTGTGTACAAGTGTGAGCTGATTGGCCACAAAAAGTCTGTATCAGACTAGAATGCTAAACATCATGATGTTTACCGAATAGGTCAAGACATGGACACACTCAACACGAAATAATTATAAAGCTTTTCAAGGCAAAACAGATGCAATAAGATCATAAACAGTAAAACAGAAGAAATGTAACAACTTACAGACACATTTACCTACCGATGAAAGGAAAAAACTGACACGAATTGTGTTACGAGATGTCGGGTTTCGATGTGCCTTGGCATCATTTCTCCGTGTCTCTTGAACTCCAGTCATTCTACTTCCAAAAGATATTCCCCTATGCAGTCCTTTGATGATGGCGGTGGAGAGCGCTGCGTAACGAATGTGTTCTGATCCCGGGGCATCGCATAATGCAGCTTCGTCAGATACTGCCTACATCTTCCCATACCCTACACACTAGGTGTCAGTTGACGTTGCTTTGACGCATGAGCAAGAGAGATAACTGATTATTTTGGTAAGCTATCAAATCTAGATTAAGAAGCTGGATTAGTCACTTTTTTTCAGCCAGGAGACCTCAGTTTGCGCTACATTTGGCCCTTTGTGTTATGCACGTTGGGTTTTTTTTTCCACTCCCTCACTACATCCGTGAATCTTCTCTGAGGACTTCCTCTTTTCCTCCTGCCGACAGCTCCATATTCAGAATCCTTTCTCCAATATATCCACTGTATTTCCACTGCAAATTTTGGAACCATTTAAACACTGCCTCTCCATCCATCCACTCATCCAT